GTAACAGCGTTCAACCTCCCGGATTTCCTCTCGAACACACACACTGACACATACGCCCTGTGGAACCCATGCGACTTCTACACACCTCAGCCATTTCCCCCACCCCCGACTGTTACATCTTAGATGGGTGTCTTTGCAACGGCGAGGCCGCAGTTGTCCTCTCGACCTCTCAGCAGACCCTCCGCCTGTACGACACCCACACCTCGGCCTTCCTCTTTGACTTGGTTGGGCACACGGGGGCAATCACCGATGTGGTGGCCACCCCGGCCAACCCGAACGGGCTGTATTCCGCGCAGGCCGATGCTGGGGTGCTGGTGTCTGACCTCCGCCAGGCTAAGGTCGTTCAATGTTTGACAGGGATGTCAAGAAGTGGGGGTGGGGGAAATTCCATCGCGATCACGCCCTCGGCCCGGACCTTGGCCGTCGCCACCGACGGGGATCTCCACCTGGTTGATTGCAGGACTTGGCAACCGCGGTCATGTATTCCGCAGATGCACACCGACGAGATTACCCGCGTGCGCTTCGTAAACGAGGAGGTAATTTGTTCCGCCGGGGAGGATCAGATGATTAATTTCATCACTACTGACCCATCTGTGTGCGAGGATGACGCTCTTTTACAGGCCACCGCCTGCGGTGAGGTGGTGACTAAGATGACCTCTCTCAACGAGGTTGAGTTGATGGCGATGGTTGGGAGTTGCGAAAATGGCTATGTCTACCCTTTGGACCTGGAAAAGACCGAAACCCGTTTTCCACGCCCCGACTTTAACACTTATTTAGTGGATTGGTGCGTCCTGGGTGGGCGGCTCAGCCTCCTCTTAGGCCACCGTGATGACGATGGCAATGCCGGGCCGCTTTCCCTCTTGGACTTTGAAACGAGGACCCAAGACGCCTTACGGCCGATGGCCCATAAGGAACTCTGTCGGATGGCCATTGGCATTGGCAACCGCCTTATTACTGGGGGCGAGGACGGAGTATTAGCTTTTTGGGCCCGCGATGGGACCAATTCGGACAGCGGCGGTGAACTTTTACGGACGTCTGCCCCACAGGGGGGTCTCCCAACGGCTCACCCAACCGCCCCTCAGGGCCATGTGAAAAAGCGTCCGAGGGAGCCGTTTACCAATGACAAGTGCCTTTCGCCGTTGACTGGGCGGGGGCCTGGGAAGTCGTATTGATGGGCCGTGCGGACTGGTCGCTTCTCCGAGGATTTGCAATTTCCGTGGTTCCTTTTTTTCGGAGCGATCAGGGATCCGAGAGTTGAAAAGAGATGGGTACACAAAGACACCTATAGGATACAAGTATGCATCATCATACAGATGGTTTTTTATTTGTGGCTAACAACTAATTCATTTTTATCTACTGCTAAGTATGTAATTTTGGTAATAGGATTCTATATATATATATGTATATAGACATACAGGTCTGTGTATACGAGGGCTGGCATCGGCGTTTTTTTGAGGGAAGCGGCAACAACGACAAACAGATGCAAGAACCTCATTGACAAAATGTTTTACACTAAAACTAAAAGGTAAACTAAGCTAAAAGACTGTGGTTCTAATTACCAACCGATCTACAAGAAGTTTTCCGGTCGCTACCCTCTCCTATCCCAATTTTGTGTACACTATTTGAAAGTTTTAGCATGACGTTCATTTTTATTGACTTTCATGAGAATACGCGTTCCGATGCTATCATTTATACACATGGAATCATTCTTCTTATCTTTAGTTGATATTTCGTCATTTCCCTAACACAAAAGGGGGAGGACACCGCCGTTCTTGACGTGGGAGTTGTTAGTAGCAATAATTTATTTAAGACGGTTAATCTGTTTTGATGATAATGGGAAGACTCTGTGAGAAGGGTAGTTCTCACCCTGTTTAATAGTTTTCATTCGGTTAAGCCTCATTTCGATTCGGTTAATAATCTTTTGCCAAGTCTATGACGATAAAGTCATAGTATACTGATAAACTTAGTCAGAAGAAGATACAAATAAGACATAAAAGGATGGAACATGTGAATGTCAATATTCTTAATTTCTTTATCATACATTCTATTTTTAAGTACGCTAAATCACTGCTAAGACGGTCAATGATGGTTTGCCGTCCTTTTTTATCCTCAACTATATTACAGCAAGTACTAATTAAGAAACCACGCCATAGTAGGATATATATATATATATATATTTAATTATCCCGTAAAGGTTTAGGGTCAATATGCTCTTCGAGAACCCCCCACAGCCTTCCGCCACAGTGCCCGTTCACGAATGTGAGAGGTCGTCGCGTCGAAAATCTACCAAACATTTTTTTTTTTTTCTTGTTTGATCCTTATTGTTGCGTTCTGGGTTTACCACATAGTGCTTTTATCGGCCTACGTGGAGCTTCCCATTGATGATCTGTTGGTCTCGCTCAGTGAAACCTGCCCCATCGAAGGGCTTCCAAAGGCGGATTTGGGGTTATTTCCGGGAGAACTCGCCTCCACTTTGCCCCCCGCCCTATATGGGGTGGGGGTTTGGGTTGACGAGCCGAGGATGTTCACGATGGTGGACCGCACTTTGCGCCGCATTGAAGCGTGTTTGGCTGAGCGACCTCAGGCGGATAAAAAGTTGAAGGAAACAACGGCGCGGAAGCGATTGATTTATCATTTTTCGCAATCCGCGTCTCGCGAACGCCCTCTTTTAGCGCGTTCTAACTCTTCCGAGGTGGGAATCTACCCCAACCGGTCGGAGGCCATTAGGGTTTTTAGCGAGCGCGCGATGTCCCAGCAGATGGGGCTTCGGAATTTCAAGCATGTTTTCAATCCGGAGCCCGAGAAAGAAATGCAAATGATCGGGCTCAGTCTATTTAGCGTCCCGGCCTATCATTTTGGGTTTATAGAGGATCCTCGGCGGGATTCGATTTGGTGCCATTCGTTTGATCCCTGGCAGTCATTTTGTGTGGTGCTGGCCAACCCGCTGGAGATTGGCGAGGGGGGCGAGAAGGAGGTTCCACGCGACGAATTTGATGACGAGGGGTCGATGGAAACACATATTATGGCCGGGGTGGCCTCGGTTATGGCCGCGGGCCTATCCATTATTTCGTTTCACCCTCATGAGGTTCAGGCATGGCATCAGCAGCGCCATCGAGCGGGCTGCTTGTACGCGATGCGCTCATTGAGGGCATTACGGGATTCCTTGCGGGAGCGGCTGAACATGCGGACTCATCACACCCTACGAAGTGTCTTTGCCAAAGTCCGGCAGCTGGTTAAACGTGGGGAACTCGTGCAGGCTGCACGGGCCGCCGATGACCTTCAATTTCATCCTTTACATGCCCCGGATGTGTTTTTGCCGGTCGATTACGAGCTCACATGCCACTTTATCGTTCTTTTACCCTTTATTTTTATGGTATTCGTCAGTGCATCCTTTGAATTAAAGAAGTATCGCCTTAAACGGAAATGTAAAAAGGTAGGTTGCGATGGATAATATCAGTCGCATCCCTGGGTTTATTATCATCCTCTATTTCTAAGCATTGTGTGGGTGCCATATTCCTTCGAGGAATTCCTAGGACGATTCTTTCTGAGTGTTTCAGTCCTGCCTTTAGGGTTGTATAGGTTTGGATACCTTGTTTTATGGAGGGATTAAACAAATGTCGTCGAATCGGTAGAGTCTGTGATACTATCGGAGGGGATCATTTTCACATGCTCATTTTTTATTTTACGTTATATGGATGTACGTAGAATGTGTTCACAGACGACAAGTGTTTAACCCAACCCTGCCAAATCGACGTCGGATGTTTTTTTTAAATTTCCACTGGATACTCTTCTTCAATGATTTGCCTTTGTGGTACATTTAGTGTTTTTTCTTCACACTTCTTCCCGCGCGTAGTTCTTTCAATGTATGGCAGTTCTCGAACGCACCCTGCGGGGGAGGACTTCCCGGAGGACGCCTTAGGGGACCCAAGTCGTCTTGCCGCCCAGATGCTTTCCTTTCGTGGCCCCAACTGGCCCCCCAACGGCGCGCCGGAGAACCTCGGCGCGAACTTTATTCCCGCGCCGGATCGGATGCCGCCCTTAACTGAGGACAGCCTGCCAATTTCATTAAACGACAGCCCAAGCCCCGATATCAATAATAGGAATCGTCATACAACCAATACTACTACTAACATTGTGAGGGCCGAGGACGGGGTTTTAAACTCGCCTTTGACGGGCCCCCGGCAGGCCGCGGGGCACCGCGGCAGGGCCCCTGCCCCCGCCCCGGCTTATCACCGCATCGTCACCAAAGGCGATGAGGGGGATGCGGAGTTTCTAGGCTGCGCGGAGCTGATCGCCCGGATTATTTACGCGCGGAATGTCTACAAAACGATGGACAAGGGCCAAAACGAGCCCCCGCCGAGCGAGGCGGCCGAAGGGCCTTTGGGAGATCCAACCGCGCCGCCCTCCGACGGGCCGCCCGGGGCCCCAATTAACGAAACGTCGAGCGAACTATGGGAGGCCGCGCCGACAACCCCGGGGGCGGGTTTGGGCGGGATTCCCGAGGCTCCCCAACCCCCCCCCTCCCGGCGCGCCTGACGCGGTCTTTGACCCGGCCTTTCCATCCCCCGCGAAGGCTTTGGGGCTTTGCGATGCCCCCCCCTTCCGAAGCGCGGGTTTGGCAGGCGCGAAGGGTGGTTTTTTGTGCTTTACGGACGGGCTTTACGCGTTTCGCGGGATGGGCTGCTGCGTCGTCCCCTGGGCGCAGTACATCCACGACATTCGGCTGGTTTACCAGGCCATCGAGTTCGGCCCCTGCTTGTCCACCGCCCGCACCCGGCTGACGACGCTGTCGGAGAAGACCCAACTTTATCGTTTGTTGAATGGCGAGTTGGAGTGCGGCCGCGAGGCGGCGGGGGAAAGGAGGGGGGGGGTTTACGCCCGGGCCGCCTACGTCGATAACGCGGTGCGAATGCGATGGTCGGTCACCGCCGCCGAATTCCTGCATGCGCTCGTCCGGGGCGCGGTGGAGCAGCCGCGGATGCCGCTCCTGGTGGACCGCGAAACCGCCGAGGTGCTTTCGATCAAGGAGTACCTTCAACTCGGGGGCGTGGGGAATGCGCAGGAGCTCACCATCGAGGGCCTCGGCTTGCACCCGACGCTTTACCGCAATAAGTTTATCCCCTACGACATGTTCGATGAGGGGCTGAACCCGGCCGGGCGGTTCGGCTCGACGCTTTTGCAGGCGGTGTGGTCCACCGGGGGGCCGCACCAGGGGGATCTCTGCGGGGCCCTCATCCGCGCCGAGTTGGAGGATAATGAGTACAAGACCAAGCAAGTCGTCGCGACCGAGATGTTGATCGAGCTTTATGGGCATCACCCCGAGGAGATGCGGCGGCTCGCGGGGTGGATGCGGCGGCAGGGGTTTAACAAATTTACAAACAACCGATGGGTGTTGAACTTTTGCCCGGAGCGGCCGCCCGCGGAGACCCCGGACGGGCTGCCGATTATCAGCCAGACGGTCGAGGACCAACTTCGCCATTTTTTCGAGCCTTTGATGGCTGCGACGCTCTACCCGGCTGACCCGATGTGGGTCGATATCGCGCAAATGCTAGAGTGCACAGGGGCGATCAGTATCCACGCGGGGGTGGCGCCCCGCGTACAGGGGTTTCTTCCCACCCCCCACCCCCCGAATTCCATCCCCTACGACGCCTCCGTGAGCGATTATTACTTTGCGTACTACATTTGGGCGAATCTTTCCGTCCTGAACGCGCTGCGGAGGCGGGTGGGGCTGCCGACGCTGCGATTTCACCCCGCCGTCAACGCCCCGGCGCCGATGTTTGATCAGCTGGTTTGTAGTTTTTTGCTCGGCGACGTCGTCTACCACGCGTCGTCGCTGGAGAAGAGTTGGATTATGCAATACCTCTTTATGATTTGCCGGATCGGGGTGGTGATGTCGCCCTTGCGGGATAACGCGCTGCGGGTTTCCTATTTTGATCATTTTTTCGTCCAATACTTCCATCAGGGGCTTTTGGTCTCGCTTTGCACCTTCGAGCCGCTTTATTTTCACCACCGCCTCAAACAGCCTTTGCTGGAGGAGTACGCGACGTTGATGAAACTTCGCTCGTTGAGCCCGATGGATATCTGCGAGATCGCGCACAACAGCGTTCTTAACAGCAGCTTCCCCGAGTCCAAAAAGCAAGATTGGCTGGGCAGGCCCGAGGCCTTGCCAGGGGTCACCCACTGCGAGATCGGCCGCGCGAATCTTTGCTATTATCGCCAACAATTCCGCCTGGAAAGTTTTCTTCACGAGGAGGCGTTATTGCGGTCGATGTTGGCGAGCGTGGCGAGGCGGAACGGCGGGGCCCCGCTTTTCGTCCAACCGCGCCTCGAGGGGCCCGGGGGCGATTTCGCGGTCACCTCCCACCAGCCCGATCTCCCGCAGCTTCGTTCCTTTTTGCGGATGAATTATACGGATAACCGCATTGTGTATCCGCGGATTGATATTTACAGCGATGGCGACCCTTCCCGGCGAAATCCGAAAATGAAAGAGGCGGTCCAGATGCTCCGCCATTCCGTTTCCCTCCGTGGGAAGTACAACAACTTCGCCAATCAGGTCGAGGCAAGTGTAGAGGAGGTGTTTACGCGTTCAAATCAACTCGATGAGGAGAGCTGGGAGTACAACAAATACTACGATGTGTTTTTGCTCTCGCGTATTGGCAAGAGCACCTCGTGGCCGACTTTTATTCCAACCGTGCAGGAGTTTATTCACGACGTGGAGAGCATTCGACGCGCCGTGAGCGCGGGATCGCTGCAATGCCTCGCGGTGCACCGCCTGAAACTCCTCGATCGCAAGTTTTTGCTCCACCTTTCCATGAACATCTACAACGAGGCCGGGGCCAAAGAGGACAAATCGTGGAATAATCGAGACTTCTTCACCGCCTACAAGGTGGACACCAATGTCCAGATGAATGCGGGGCATAACGCCCGGATGATGTTGGAGTTTTTTGTCGATAAAGCCCACAACCACAGCGACGATGTGGTTTTTGAGGAAAACGAGCTCCCGATCACCCTCCGCCAGCTCCTCAGCCGCTACCAAATCAGCGTCGACCAGATCACCGTGGATGAATTACAACACCAGCTTAACACCCACGACGACCTTCTCAGTATCTTTCTTTCCCCGCATAATTTTATGCAAGGACGCTACTTTGCCGAGCTCACGAAAAAAACGCTCCAACTTTTTCAGGAAGATGCCTTTACCTTTGTGGAAAGTCGCCTGATGTTGAGTGGGGCGTCGAGCGAGGAATGGCAGCTCCTCGCGGCGTGGTTCGACCGCTATGGGATGGCGAGCTCGCTTTGTCGGTGGGTCGTGAGTATTCCTCGGCAATATCGCCGACTCCGCCAAGAAGGAAAAGTGGAGAGTTTTGGACGCTTTTTGGACAATATTTTTCGCCCTCTGTGGGAAGTGAGCCTACACCCCGCGAAGAACTCCAAATTGCACTACTTTTTAGCTTACGTGACCGGGTTTGACTGCGTGGAGGATGAGTCCAAGGTGGATTTGCCCCTCACCAGCGTCTATCCGTTTCACTGGCGGAGCGATTTGAACCCGCCGTATAATTTTTATTTGTACTATTTATGGGCGAATATCACCTCGCTGAACGAATTTCGCGCGTCGCGTGGGCTGGGGACCTTCACGTTTCGCCCGCAATGCGGGGAGCAAGGCAGCATGGATCATCTGATCGGGGGTTTTTTATTAGCAAACGGGATTAATCATGGCGTGACCTTGGCCAAACATCCTGTGTTGGAGTATATGTACTATCTAAGCCAATTGGGTATTGCCATGTCCCCTCTTAGCAATACTGCCAACGTCTGCGGTTACCTCGAAAACGCCTTTCCCACCTATTTCCATCGTGGGTTAAACGTGAGTTTGGCAACCAATAAACCCCTTTACTTTCACTTCACGCGGGAGCCTCTAATGGAAGAGTACTTTATCGCCGCGAAGCTTTGGCGGCTGGAGTATAATGACCTTTCCGAGATCGCGCGGAATAGCGTTCTGCAGTGTGGCTTTCCAACGGCATGGAAAGCGGAAGCCCTAGGGCCGCTTTATCAGCTCCGCTCAACGCTGGGGAATGATGTTCGCAAAAGTCGCGTCTCGGACATCCGCGTCGCCTTTCGCTACGAGACCTATCACACGGAGTTAAACTTCTTGGATGAACAGCTCTCATCGCTGCAGCGCATGCCGCGCGCGATGAATTCTTTGGAAAAGGAAGTTCTATTTTATAAAGCGCTGAAAGGCCGAAAGTCGGTGAGCGATAATACCCATGGGGGGGCCACACCCAGTCTAGATACCTGCACCTCTTGGCCACAGCCCAGTTTAGACAGACCCGCGCGGCTGAATGAACCCGCCACGAATGCGGGCAATTCTCCTCAAAAACAAACGGACGAGAACGTCGAGGAGATGACAACGAGCATGCCCGGCGATTCTATTTCCGATATTTCGTTCCCCAAGCACCAGGACAAGCACACGGAGACTTTAAAGACCGATATTGAGGACTTGGATCGTGAGCTAATGCGTCTACAAAACCTTTCGACGCAGCTTAACGAGGCAAACAGTACAATCGCGGCTGAGGTTGACAAAATGCGAGCTCAGCTCAAGGCGGATGCGTTAGTTATTATGGGTGGGCTTGCCCACAACAACCACGAACAATCTGACGAAGCAGGCGATAGTGGGATCAGTTGAGGGATGGTATTTTATACACAGCGTACGTTTTCTTAGGTGCATGAATATACAATTGCACTATCATCTAAAGGGTCACTCTTATAATGCTTTATCTTTCTACCCTTTAAACATTCTTTACTCTGCTTTGATGGGGTTCTTTTTATTATTTACACACTTTTTTCTTGCATTATTAGGCTGTTGTTTTCACTACATGATTTTATTTTTTTCCTTGTGGCTGTTACTTCTTTTGTAGAAATAATGTAAATTACATATGGTAGTTCTGTGTGAACAGATACCTATCTCTCTTCATATATACATATATATATATATATATGTTGAGGCATAGATCCAATAAGTTTCCTTATCGACTCGTGCAAAACCAAAACTGTGCTTTTAACTCTGATTGCAAGTTTGTAAATAGTACTCACTTCCTTCAGTTACTTCATGCATTGCTTTATCACGCTTCTCTTTTCCTTTTCTTTTTATCATGGGCTCACTTTAAGTTCTCCCAGATGAGTATTTCGCTTTAATTATAAAAGAAGTAAAATAATAAATACACTAAGCAATATCTTTATTTTTGAAGGCTCTCTTTATGTGATGTCAGACGATGTTGATGAAAAGAAAAGTGGATGGAGACTGAACACTGGGGAGGATGACATCTCTGATTATTCACACTGGGCTTTCTTGGAGCCAAGCGCGAGGCGTCAAAAATCGAGAATCCAGATCCCACGAGCGGATTCTCAAATAACTCAAAGCGACGGTGTTTTGACGACATCGCATCGGAAGCGTAAGAATTGCCTTTATCGAGCACTCTTCACTGACGATGATCCACAGACATCGGCATTGACCGTGATGAAACCGCAGACTATGCGAGCGCCCCCAATGCGTTCTGAGATGCTAGCCTCGAGGTCCCACGATAATCCGAGGATCTCTCTTCAATCCGCATTGCCACTCTCTGGCCATGTACCAGCCTCCGAGACTCCACAAATCGGCGCCGAGGATAGACCTCGAACCACCCTGTCAGGGTCAAACCCGGCCTCGGCCTATGAGCGTCCAGGCTTTCCCACCCACCCCAGGCCGCCCTCCAGGGGTCGATTGGCGACCCAAAGCGATCCTTCGCGTGGGCGGTCGGCCTCGACCCGAACGGACCCCAGCGTGTGCGCGTTCCCCCACAACCCGAGCCACCCCAGGCCTGCGAGGCTGCCCTCCCGAGGCCT